GCCTGGCTAAATTTTTTTTTTTTTTTGGTAGAGATGAGATCTCACTTTGTTGCCCACGCTGGTCTAGAGCTCCTGGCCTCAAGTGATCCTCCTGCCTTGGCCTCCCAAAGCCCTGGGATTACAGATGTGAGCCACCACCCCGAGCCGAATGTAAAAGTCCATCCAGGGCAAAGATAAGAGTCAAGAGGCCCAGAAGAATGGGACTGAAGTGTCAGGGGCCAAGGACAGCCCACCGTGGGTTTCCTGTGATCCTGGGGCTTGGCTACTTGGACCAGGGGTGAGGGATAGGGGAAGGGAGACAGGAGATGCTGAGAAGGACATAGCCTTGGGGAACATCGCGGCTTCTGTGCCTGGTGCTGCAGTGAAGGAACCAGGAGGGGCTGGCAATTGGCCTAGGGGTTTGCTGTGTTTCAGAACTCCTCCTCCCAGTGCCTTCTCCTCACTCAGGCCAGACTTCTCACCCATTCCCACCCCTGCATCTTCGTTCCGGCTGTTCCCTGATCCCTTCCCCAGGAGCAGCATTCCTACTTCTTCTCCTTTCTTCCTAACCCAAGGTGGCTCATTTCTCAAAGCCCAGAGGAAGGTGCACATCCTCTGCAGGGCTTTCTCCACAGTTCTAAGCCCCCTCTCTGCCAGGCCTCAGACCCCACAAGGCAAGGGTGGGGTGGACAGCATTGCACAGTATGTGCTGTGTACTGTGCGACAGGATGCCTCTTCAGCTCCAGCCAGAGCAGGCTGAGAGTCTGCCCACTAAGTGGCCTCCCAGTCCTCTCCCACTCTCCTGGCGCACAGTGAGAGGTGTGCACAGCTGGAACCCCAAATGGTGTCCCAGTGGGTGTGATCAAAGCAGACACAGCAAGGTGACGCCTGGCCCAGCAAGGTAGCAGTGAGGGCCCCCCAGAAAGGGATCTTAAGGTTCTCTTGCCCCCCACCATCTGGATTAAAGGGTCCCCAGGTCCTGAAGAGGAACTGGGACTGCTATCAGAACTCAGGGCAGTGCCTGTGGTCTGCTTCATGGCTGAGGGTCTGGGAAGTTGTCATTCCACTTCCAGTGTGGGCTCTCTCCTGCTCAGCCCTGCTGGGCTGGGGACACAGACCTGAGTTATAGAGCTTTTGTAGGTGTCGCCACGTGGATGTGCTGGTTTGGGATGCCTTGACCTACCCCAGAGGGCAGCCCCTCATGGGCAGATTCCGTTCTGGGCACACTTGTGTGTCTCTGGGCGAGGGGAGTGCTCACTGCTGTCTTCTTAGCTGCTGAGCAGAGGGGCTGCTGGGGAGGACCGTTCCCCCCATTAGCTAAACTACCCACCGCCACATGTCCTGGGCCTCATGTAGATAGAGTTGCCTGTGCAGGAAGCAGGCTCAGCTATGAATCTACCTGAGGGCAGAGCTTTCTGCACTTGTCTTTTGATTGGGATTCATGTTAAATGCCTTGCTTGCTCCTGGGCAGGCATCTATGGATGGGGACATCTGTGTCCCACTTGACAGTCTGCCAGGCCCCCTACTCTGAGTCTCCATAGGTCAAGGATGACTGCTTCCTTCTCTGATGTATTCGCCTGGTCCCGACGGTGAGTTTTTATTACTGCTTGCCACATAGTCTGTGTTTTAAGTCTGGCCATTCCAAATTTCCTCTCCAAATTTGATGAGCAGTCTGCCCACTGTGATTGCACAATGCCGAGACGGGTGAGCAGAAACAGTTGTGCTTATGTAGGTGCATGGTTCTTTGTGATTTCTGCGGCTAACACTGCCATCTGCTTCATGTCCAGGGCTGGGTTCCATGTCTGTCTGAGATCTTGACCACCTTGTCTACAGCAGTCTGTGACCCAAGGTAGTAATTGCTTAATTGTCTACTAGGTTCGTGGCTTTCAGGGGCCAGAAAGTTGTATTCATCTTTCTATCCCGGACCTGCACAGGAAGTCAGTGGCCCATATGCATTTGTTGAATGGAAGGAATTTTAAACTTCTTGAAGTTTCCCTTTCTTACCAATTCTATATCTCAGCCCAGCCCGGAGCTGAGCCCATAACAGGGCTGATGGGTTGGCCAATGGATGGGACTGCTGAAAAGTTTCCTAAGTCAAAAGTGGATTTTGATCCCCAAGGACACAAAGAAACCCAAAGGCTTGACTCAACCAAGTATCTGGAGTGCCTGTTGGTGAAAGGCCAGGCCCCATCACATGTGAGCCATGATCATGGGGCCATGGGAAGGGGGTTTGGTGAGATGGGAAGAATGTGCATCATGAAACAAGGAAAGGACTTGGCGTGAACCAATGGCGATCAGGTGCCAGGAAATGAGGAGTGTGGCTAACTCAGAAATCTGTCCCTGAGGTCTGATTCCAAAAGAAAGAGAAAAAAGGGAAAGAAGGAAAGAAGGGAAGGAGAGAAGGATGGAAGGAAGAGAGGGAAGAGCAAAGAAAAGAAGGACAGAGAGCGTAGGTTTGGAAGCTAGATAAAGCTGGACCTGACAGGAGTTCGAGACCAGCCTGGCCAACAAGGTGAAGACCTGTCTCTACTAAAGATACAAAAAATTAGCTGGGTGTGGTGGTGGGTGCCAGCAATCCCAGCTGCTTGGGAGGCTGAGGCAGGAGAATCACTTGAACCTGGGAGGCGGAGGTTGCAGTGAGCCAAGATTGCACCATTGCACTCCAGCCTGGATGACAGGGCAAGACTCCATCTCAAAAAAAAAAAAAAAAAGCTGGACCTGAATCCCTTTTCTATCTCTTTTAAATGTGGCTCTCTAGACACGATCTCTATCTCTATGTCCTAGTTGCTGCATCTGTACAAGAAGAATCAGATTAATGTATATGATGTGTCCCACACTATTCTCGGCACAGGGTAAAACTCACTTAGTGTATTCATGCTGCAAATAATGGGGATTATTGTTACCATAGCTCAGGTTTTGCATGAGGTGTCAGTTTGGATTTAATGAACTTAAGCCAAAAAGAGCATTTATTTAAAAACTTCTGGCCGGGCATGGTGGCTTACGCCTGTAATCCCAGCACTTTGGGAGGCTCAGGCAGGTAGATCACCTGAGGTCAGGAATTTGAGACCAGCCTGGCCAACAGGGTGAAACCTTGTCTCTACTAAAAATACAAAAATTAGCTGGGTGTGGTGGTGCATGCCTGTAATCCCAGCTACTCAGGAGGCTAAGGCAGGAGAATT